TCCTTTCTCATGTGTGGCAGCTCGTCAAGAGGATGACTCATGTTGAATGTCACCAATCTTACATGTTGTGCATGAAAAGTTTTTTAATGGCACATGACAAACTTGACATGTAGAAGGTTTCCTCAACTATATATCAATGCAACACAGATGAAAAGTGTGGCATCATTTTGGCATGATCCATAATATTTATCTTTCTTTGTACTCTCTCAAATATAACACACACATGTATAATCAAACTCAATTCGTTATTTATTCACTAGTTCCTTTTTGCATAAACTTATTAATCTATCCAAGACCTACCTAGATAAACAACTTATTTAAGCGCTTATAAAATAATAATTTATCAAAGTAAATAATTTTGTATAACTTATTTTTATAACAAAAGATAAAATAAAGTAAACATATACTCATGTAAGTTAATATGTTGTTTTTATAAACTATCTTAGAGAACTTATATAAATAATCTAAATACAGCTCATGAACACGTCATAATCCATTTTCATCGGCTCTTTGAAACAATCTCACAAGTGCTTATGTCAATAGATAAGCTCTTATAAATCAGTTTAAATAGACACTTAATTTATCATGTATCTTAAACAATAACAACAACCGAGTCAAATCCAGCAAAAACAATCATGTATCTGATGTTAAGGAAAACATGAGAAACTCTTCTCTATGACTTACAAATTAATAAAAAAGGACATAATTGTGTATCTTCAATGGACCTGAAAGCCTCTTGATTAAACTTCAAAGTGGAAATTTTTTCAAGCAGAATTGGTTCAGGATCATGGTCATTAACATGATGTTTTGGCTATCAGTAAATAATAAAAATTAAAAACTAAATCACTCTAATTTTCTAAGTTACAAATTGCAAATGCAAACATGGGATCAAGGCATCTAATGCTCAAACTTGCTGCTGTGCTGATGACTGAATCAGAATTCCGCTCTGATAAGAAATCGCAGAAAACCAGAACACTGAGATGATAGAAAATTGGAGTATTTAGGATCAAAAGTCCGCTCTGACAAGAAAACCAGAAAATCGGGTTGGTCGAAGGTCAAAGTTTCCTGCAAAACTCATCCCTCTCACAGGTAGGTTCTAGTCTTAAAAAGTACGGCATCCTATGCAGGTCGTCAGCATCACAGACTCTCAAGTCGCAAAATGATGATATGTTTACCATTTCTAGTTTGACATCATGGTCAATCGAGGAGGTCTCAACTGACTTCCCAATGAACGGTCACCGGAGTCGTTAGCTTTCATATCTAACACCCCTCAACTGTCCAAGATGCACAGGATATGATGCCTTCAAGAAAAACCTCGTCTGGATGCAAATTTCGTGCTGACTCTTGTGCGGCAAGATGCCACACAAGTCCGCAATACTCTCCACACTAATCTTAGGTGCGTAATCAAGCCTGGGTATTGGGTTTACCTCTCATGGAACAACACACCCAACAACACAGCAACAACGATATAATAAAATGCAAATGCAATAATATACAACAGGATAATGTACATACAGAAAATAACTGCACAAAAGTAAATACCCAAAGAAACAGAAACAAACATGCACTAGGATTAACTCGCATAGGGAACTAGAAGTCCCCAGCATAGTCGCCATCTGTCGCAACTGCGAAAAACACCCAGCGAAAAAACAGAAGAGTCGCCACCGAACGTTATTTATCCCAAAGAGAGGGAAAGGAAATGATCGGAAAAAACCTGACGAATGGGAAAAGACAAGGTCATCGCAACCAAATCTTGGATTCGGGAGTCAGTTACGCAAGGGGAAGTAATAGCACCCCTCACGTTCGTTGTACTCAACGGGATTCACACTTGTTCTCTAATCAAGGGGTGTGTTTATCTATAAGCTACTGCTAAACGAAAACGAGAAAAAAATAAAAAAAGAAAGAGACTCGATAGGACATTGCCGCCCTATGCCTACGTATTCCCTCGTGCAATGGAAAAGTCAGAGTCAACATAGTTCGAAAAACTACGGGTGGTGGGAGGAAGGTTGCTCGCCAAGACATCGCCGTCTTGGGCCTACGTATCCTCATCTGGTATGAGAAATACTACAGGTTGGTTGGGCGTTTTTTATGAGTGAGGTTAAACTCCCATTGCAACAGTTAGGGTCGATGCTTGTTTGCGGTAGAACGGAAAAGTAACGTACTCTTTTCTGAAAGTGATTTTGAAACACAAATTCTAAAGGATAAAAAATTTTGAATTTGGTTTGTGAGTTTTAGTGAAGTGAATTAGTTTGCTTTGTGATTCACATTGCACTAAAGACTATGATATAGGAGCAAATGCGTCACATATCGCCCTAAGGCATACGCTAAACACTCTAGACAAGTGAGGAGAAACCCCCCATTCATCATTTCCCATGTGCTTAAGGCTTGTAGCGTACAATGTTCATCGTGTTTATTAGATGAGTTATAATTTGTTTTGAGATGAGAAAAGAGACGCACGAAAAGTCTAAGGGAAACTCAGCCCTAACGTTGTCATGCAAAGTGGTCCTAAAGTCGAGATGCAAAAGGAGATTCTATCCTAATGTTAGCATGCAAAAGATGGACCTAAGGTTGAGGTTAGAAGGGACTAGCCTACTTGTTATCATGCTTGGATTGCAATCCTAATGTCTATCCTACTCCAAATTTAATCAGAAATTAAATTAGAATAAGGATCCTAAGGAAGCATGCAAAGACAAAGTAAAAAGCAAAGAAACAAGGTAAAAACAACAGCTACAACAACGCCTCCTGCACAAAACAACGATAAAATCTAGCACACAAGCAAGACCGCCTATAACAACACATGTTTCAGCACAAAAGTAGGTGTAAAAATGCAGACAGCAAGAGATTGCGAATGCAATTAATCAATAGCAAACACCAATCATGAATGGATATCATGCAAGTATGAACATGCTTCAACAATCAAACATAATTGATCAACAACATTGCATCGACAAGAAAATCAACAAGATCAACATGCCTTTCTATTCAAATCAAATGATCGAAAGATCAAACGAACATGCAACAAATGGAGTCGGGAACAAATGCAAACGTGCATAAAACATCTAGCAAAGCAAACAATTCATGATAACCAAATAACATGATATGAGCAAGCAAAGCATGTGTTCATTCATCAATCAAGCAACAATAACATGTTATGCATTCAAACGGAAACCAGATGTTACGTGTTGAAGACTCGAGGTCAAACATTTAAGAACTGTTAAATATGTCAAAAACAGTCCACATAAATGCATCATATCAAATCATGAAGTTTATATGTGAAAAGGAACCCAAACAAGAAAGAAAAATGCAAAAACAAGGCACTCTGTTCAGTGGTAATCGGTTACTGTAATCAGGTAACCAGTTACTTGTTGTAAAAACAGCTTGGAGGATGAAATTTATGAAGGGTAATCGGTTACCCATATGTGGTAACCGATTACCACTGAACCAAAAACAAAAAAATAGCCCCCAAAATCAGTTTTCAGCACCAAACAACTTACCCAATCACTCATATGAATATGTTATCAATTAAGCACGAAATCAACACCAAAAATTAGTGATCAAGCATCATGTAAACAAAATCAAACATCTAATTCACTAATCAATCAAATGGATCAAAATGCATCAAAAACCATGGATCTACATTGTGATTATTCAAATAAGTTCAAAACTGAGTTAGATCTAGAATTACCAATCTTAAAAGCCTAGATTTACTTTGGTTAGTGTTGATTCACTTGAAATTAATAGATCCAAGCTAGAAATCTAGAGATTTTTAAAAATCCAAGAGCTTCCTTATAGTAGAAATGAAGAACAAGCAAGATCAAGCAAAATTGACTCAAAAAAAGCACTTCCAATCTAGCTTCCAAATTCGGATCCAGATCCAAACGAAAATTGAGTGATGAATTGAAGATAAATGGAGATGAATGATGGAGGTTAGCTCTAGAATTTAAGGATTTTAATGAAGAATCAATGAACTTAACTGGAAAGATATTTAATGAAGTTTTTGGGAGCGAAAAAGTTGAGAGAAAGTTGAGAGCCAATTCTCAAGAATGAATGTGAAATCTAAAAAATGAAGGTTAAGTGTGTGAGGTTTGGAGAAAATTCAATTAAATAAGCTCTAGGTTGGGAATCAAAATATGGTTTGGAATATGGATTAGCATTTGGAATGGAAATTAGGAGTGAAATTAGGAATGAAGTGTTTGAAATTTGGAGGAAAATGGTGAAAATTGAAACAATTTTAAATCCTTTCAATGATAATCATGTGAAATCAATGGTTGAAAATGATTGAAAAACTTGCAATGCTGAGAATTCAAATTTCCTGGCAAATTTTGCCCAGGGTAACCGATTACCACATTAAAAAAATGTCCAATTTGGCGTTAAATGGAAGGAATCCTGTATAATCACCCGTTGCCACCTGTTCTAACCTTTGTTAAGTCTCCGAAACTTGCCCTTGAATATTATGTAGTAGTTTGCCTTCCAGTAGAAGTAAGTAGGTGTAGTCCACATCCTAGATTATTAGATTTCGTACATTGTAAATCATAAGTCATGTCTTGTTTATGATAAGTTTATAAATTTTCTGCTACCATCTCCTAAGATTTCACTATATAGTCAACAATAAATAAAAAATAGTCTCTCTTGAAAAAAAACATTTAAATAGTTTGAAGAGACTTGCATGCTTCTTAAGCTCACATATTCATAAATAGGTCTTGCATACTTATGTAGTTAACCTGACATGATAAGTTCAAATATTATAGTTATAAAAAAAAAACAGAAGAATTTAATATAGGTATTAAATTGTGATGGAAGTTTATATTAATACTAGAAATTAGTTAGAATTAAGTGTTAGACAACTTATAAAAAAATTATTAGACAAAAAAAGAATATAAAAGAAATAATGGTGAATTTGAATATATATATATCTAATACATTTAAATATTTAATCTCTTTAATAAATCTAAGTATTAGGGCAGAGGTTTAAATAACAAAGTTTTTAATAATAATTTTGTATGGGAAGAGGAAGAGGGCGGCCGCGAAAAATATCGGTGCCTCCTCCACCATTATCGCCGGTGGTCTCTACCCCGGTATCTCAATCTCAATCGGTTTTGCAAAGTAACACTGGTGACAAGAATCTGAACACAGCGGAAGGTGCGGGAATCATATATTTTGGAGAAACTTCAGAAACTTCAGATGCTCGGGAAGACGAAAGTATTGGGAAGAAGCGCAACAATATTGAACTGGAAAAACCTAATTCAACCCCATCTCCAGAAGAGGGGCGAAAGCTATGGGCTGATGTTCTAAAGGACAATCGGAATCCGGCGAAAGGTCGTGCTATGAAGTTCATACCCCCTCAAGTTGTGGAAGGGAAAATCGAGGTACAAATTGAAGAAGATGATGTCAGATCTGAAGTCAAGTTCTGGGAATCTTCTCTGATTCTCTATGCAATGGGAGCGGATTTGAGTATGAATGCTGTCAAAAATTTTATGACCAGGTCTTGGAACTTTGTTCAACTGCCGGACATGTATTTCAATGATGAAGGGTATTTCATTCTCCGGTTCAAATCGTTCACAGATCGAGATGAAGTGTTGCTGAGAGGGCCGTACATGTTAAGAAACATCCCTTTGTTGATTCGTGAGTGGAGGCCAGATTTCAAGATCAAGGATGAGCTATTACGAACCCTACCTATTTGGGTTAAATTTCCTCAACTCCCTATCGTGTTGTGGGGAGATACAAGCCTGAATAAAATTGGAAGTGCCCTGGGTAAACCTATTATGACAGATGAATGTACTGCTAATAGACTGCGAGTATCCTATGCGCGTATTCTTGTTGAAATGGATATTACCAAGGAACTACCTCAATCAATCACCATAGCGGATCATGCTGGAGAAAAGATGCAACAAGCTATTGAGTATGAGTGGAGACCTCTTTTCTGCAATAAGTGTCAAAAGGTAGGTCACTGCTGTGATAAGCCTAAGTTGAGGAAACAATGGTTACCTAGAAATGTGATACAACCTGAAACTAATGTGTTGTCTAAGAAGGTTGAGGATGATAATAAAGGGCCAAATGAAATAGGAACTGTCAATTTGGATATAGTTACAAGCAGGAAGGGTAATGCTAATTCTACTGCTGCTGAGATTCCTGCTATCAGAAGTAAGGAGGTGGAAAAAGTTATAGAAAAATGGACGGAGGTTATTAAAAGTGGAAGAGGTCGAGGTAAACAGATAGGTAAGGTTGGTGCTACAGGTATGAGTTCACATGACAATGGGTTTGATGCTCTAGAGATTTTGAAAGATCTCCTAGAGGCTCAAGACACTGGCCAATGATTGTCTCCTGGAATATCAGGGGGCTGAATAAAATGGGGAAGTTAAAGGAGACTAGCTCCCGTCTCCTAAACCTTCATCCCAACATTGCTATTCTACTTGAAACTAGAGTAAAAGTTGATAAAGCTAAGAAGGTTAGAGATTGTCTTAACCTCAGAGGTAAATATATTGACAACTATCAGTCTCACTACAATGGCAGGATATGGATTTATTGGGATGACAGTGATAAGGACATCAGAGTGGTGACCTGTACAGCTCAGATGATACATTGTGGAATTTATGATGTCAATGGTAAATTCCAAACCTGGATGACAGCCATTTATGCTATGAATCAACTGGATCAAAGAAGGAAGTTATGGGAGGATTTGGTGAATATACATAACAACCAACAAGGGCCTTGGTTCCTTATGGGGGATTTTAACAATGTGACAAAATCCATGGATAGGATTGGGGGAAATTGGGTGACTGAGAGAGAATATGTTGACTTAAGAAACTTGATGGACTATGCTGGGCTTTTTGAGAAGGATAGCACAGGTGATTATTTTACCTGGACAAACAAACATTCTGTAGGTACTATCTACTCAAAAATTGATCATGTGCTTGGTAATATAGGTTGGCTGCAGGAAAACACTGATATGAAGCTTGAGATTCTCCCTCCTAGTATTTCTGATCACTGCTTGCTGTGTTTGGCTGACCAGAAAAGAAACAGAACTGTATACACCAACTTCAAGTTCACTAATAGTGTGATTAAAGTGGATGGTTATCAGGATATTGTAAAGCAGAGTTGGCAAAAAGTGTGTATGGGTAGACCTATGGCTCGTTTGTGGTACAAGTTGCTGAGATTGCAAGCTCCTCTTATCAAATTGAGCAAGAAGTTCTCTCACCTCCAGATGTCCATTATTAAAGCCAGGACTGCTCTTCTCAAAGCGCAGGAAGATTTAAGGGTGGACAGAATGAATGCAAGCAACATTGAGAAGGTGAGACAATTTACTGATGAAGTGATTTCTCTGCAGGACCTTTATGTTAACATGCTGAGACAGAGATCTAAGTTGGACTGGCTTAGAGAAGGTGATTCAAATTCAGCTTTTTTCTATGCCTACCTCAATTCTAGAAATGCAGCTACTCATATCAATCAATTACAAAAGGAGGATGGCACTTATATTCAGAGCTTACCTGACATTGAGAAGGAGGTATGTGACTTTTATACAAAGCTGTATGGGGGTCAAGCTCAGAGGGTGAATATGATTGATCTCAATGCTATGAGGGAGGGGCCACAGCTAACTATGTTGCAGAGAGCTGATCTCATTTCCCCTGTCACTGTTGCTGAAATTCGTACTGCTATCAATGGGATTGGTGACCTTAAGAGTCCAGGCATTGATGGGTATGGTGGGAAATTTTTTAAGGCAAGTTGGAATATCATTGAGCAAGATGTTGTTGAAGCTGTTCAGGAATTCTTTGAGGAAAATGTGTTGTACAAAAGATTTAATGAAACTATTGTTACATTGATTCCTAAACATCCTGCTGCAAAAAGGATTAATGATTATAGGCCTATTGCAGGGTGCACAACTGTTTATAAAATCATCTCTAAAATCCTCACTGCGCGACTTGGGAGAGTTTTGGGGACTATTATCAGTAAAACTCAGGCAGCTTTTGTTCCTGGCCAGAATATTCACTCTCATATTTTATTGGCAACGGAATTATTAAAAGATTACAATAGAAATAATGGTACGCCTAGATGCATGATCCAACTTGATATTCAAAAAGCTTATGACATGGTTGACTGGGGTGCTCTGCGTAATATTCTCAATGAGATTGGGATGCCACAGAGATTTGTTGAATGGATCATGACTGCTGTTACTACAGTCTCTTACAGGTTTAATATCAATGGTAAGTTTTCTGATAAGGTGGTAGCAAGAAGGGGTATTAGACAAGGAGATCCTTTATCCCCCCTCCTGTTTGTAATTATTATGGAATACCTTAATAGGCTGCTGTTCAGAATGCAGAGGAATCCGGATTTCAATCACCATGTCAGATGCGAAAGGCTGCAGCTCACCCATCTTACTTTTGCTGATGATCTCCTGCTGTTTTCTAGAGGTGATATAGTTTCTATAGAGATTATGCAGCGCACCGTCAATAGTTTTTTGGATTCAACAGGTATGAAGGTTAACCCTACAAAGAGTAAAGTTTACTTTGGTAGTGTATCAGATTCTGTTAAACAATCAATTCTGAATTTTACTGATTACGACGAGGGGTCTCTCCCATTCAGATATCTTGGTGTTCCCGTGAGTAGTAAAAAGCTGTCTGTGGTCCATTATTTGCCGTTGATGGATAAACTGTTGAGTAGGATTACGCATTGGAGTTCTCGACTTCTTAGCTATGCCGGTAGATTACAGTTGATCAAATCTGTGTTGTATGCTATTACCTCATATTGGATGCAGTGTGTTTGCTTCCCTAAAACTGTGATTAGAAGAATCAATGCCATTTGTAGAACCTTTCTCTGGACAGGAGGTAACAGCAGTAGTCGAAAGAGTCTGATTGCGTGGGATAAGATTTGTAAACCTGCGGCAAAAGGAGGTTTGAATGTGCTGGATCTAGTGGTTTGGAATAGCATGTTTATGATGAAGTTACTCTGGAATATATCCATGAAAACCGATAATCTGTGGGTTCGGTGGATTCATGCTTATTACCTGAAGAATGAGGATGTTATGTATAGAATGGTTAAAAATTCAGATTCAATTATTTTTAAAACTATTCTGATGCAGAGGGAAAATATTGGCACTATGCAGGGGGATTGGAATGAGATGGTGCAAGCAGGGAGATTCATTGGTAGGCGAGTGTATGCGAACTTATTGCCTGCCACACCTAAGGTTGCCTGGTCCAGGTTAATTCTCCACAATAGAGCTAGACCCCGTGCCATATATACTCTCTGGATGACCTGTCATGGAAAGCTAGCCACAAAAGTTAGATTGAATCGATTTGGCATGGTGGATAACAACCAATGTGTCTTCTGCCCTGCGGCGGAAACCATTGACCATCTATTTTTTGATTGTGCTACTTTGAGGAAGATTTGGGTTGAAATACTTCACTGGATTGGTATCCCTCACAATCCTGGGGATTGGACAGAGGAGCTAAACTGGATGTTGAATTGTTTTGGTGGTAAAGGTTGGAAAGCCGATCTTGTTAGATTAGCTCTGACTGAAACGGTACATGAGGTGTGGAGGTTTAGAAATGACACTTGTTTTAATCAGAGAAATGACAGTAGGAATTGTACAGATAGAATTATTAACAACATAGTCTATAGAGGGTGGTCGAGCCCTAAGCTTAGACCACATATAGCTCTTTTGATGGTTCAGTAGGTCTTTTTGTTTTGGGCTGGATTTTGATCGCCTTGTTTTGTTCTTGATTTTGGATTAATGATATTTTTGATTCAAAAAAAAAAAAAAAATAATTTTGTTAACATTAATATTTAATTTAAAAATATTGAGCTTTTTAAGATTCAAAACTATTTATTAAATTGTTATAATTTTGATTAATATTTATTTTAGAAAGCATTTAGCTAATCTAATAGTAGATTAGTGTCGTCCAATTTGTTTTGTTGGTTGCTTGTTCTGGTCTTTTTAGACCTTGTGATTATTTTTATTTTGGATAATAAACCTTTTTTATTCTAATTTTTTTTATTTAAAAATAATAATAAAATAAAAAAATTTAATCCTAATTAAAATATTATTTTAGATATAATTAATGGACGGATTGTATTTTCACTATTTTATAAAAGATTATATATATATATATATATATATATATATATATATATATATATATATATATATATATATATATATATATATATATATATATATATATATATTTGTAGAAGAAATTTCATTTAAACATAGAGTTACCCTATCTGATTTCATATTTGGAGGTTTTGAATTTGAATAAAAGTGTCCAATTAATAGGAATTTAACCATGAATATCTTTGTTCTAAATCTCAAGTGTAAATATAAAATCAAAATACTTTCTAGAATAGAGCTACCCTATTTTATCCCAGGTAGTATGCTAAGAAGTAGGTGGAGTCCACATCCTAGTTCTTGGATTTTGTACATTGTGAAAAGCTTATATATCTTCTGCTACCATCTTTTAGGATTTCACAACATCGCCAATAATAAATACAAAATACTTTTGTGTCTGGAGAAACACTTAAATATTTTGAAGAGACTTGCATGCTTATTAAACTCACATGCTTACAAGTAGTGCTTGCATGCTTATTTTGTTTCAATTACTGTATCTTTTTGTGCTTCTATCTAAGCATTACTTATGCCTTCTATTAATAAAATTTTTGAACGGTTTCTTTTTAAAATTAAATATGGTAGTTATAAAAAATATAAGTTTCTACAATATTGTAGTTATTTAATAATGATTAAACTATTAATGAAAATATTTATTAATTAATTAGTTATTTAACAACAATTGTGTCAAATCCCGCAAAAACTATCATGTATATGATGTTAAGGAAAACATGAGGAACTCTTCTCTATGACTTACAAATTAATAAAAAAGGACATAATTGTGTATCTTCAATGGACCTGAAAGCCTCTTGATTAAACTATAAACTGAGAATTTTTTCAAGCAGAACTGGTTCAGGATCATGGTCATTAACATGATGTTTTAGCCATCAGTAAATAATCGTAATTAAAAACTAAATCACCATAATTTCCTAAGTGGCAAATTGACATAAATCAGAAAACACGTATGGATAAACAACTTATTTGCAGCTTAAAACAATAATCTCTTATGATTATACGTAAATAGAATGCAACATTTGTAAGTTATAGAGATTAAGATGAATTTATCCAAACATGTGTATTAAAAACATTGAAATTAAAATGAATCTATCAAAAACTAATTACTCTAACATCTAAAAAGATTATAAAGAATTGAATTAGAAAATTGAAGTAAGAATTATTAACCTATCCAAACATGTGAATTAAAAACATCAATGT